GTCTTTAGTCCTGGTTGTACACCATGTCTTTAGTCCTGGTTGTACACCATGTCTTTAGTCCTGGTTGTACACCATGTCTTTAGTCCTGGTTGTACACCATGTCTTTAGTCCTGGTTGTACACCCATGTCTTTAGTCCTGGTTGTACACCATGTCTTTAGTCCTGGTTGTACACCATGTCTTTAGTCCTGGTTGTACACCATGTCTTTAGTCCTGGTTGTACACCATGTCTTTAGTCCTGGTTGTACACCATGTCTTTAGTCCTGGTTGTACACCATGTCTTTAGTCCTGTCCATGTCTTTAGTCCTGGTTGTACACCATGTCTTTAGTCCTGGTTGTACACCATGTCTTTAGTCCTGGTTGTACACCATGTCTTTAGTCCTGGTTGTACACCATGTCTTTAGTCCTGGTTGTACACCATGTCTTTAGTCCTGGTTGTACACCATGTCTTTAGTCCTGGTTGTACACCATGTCTTTAGTCCTGGTTGTACACCATGTCTTTAGTCCTGGTTGTACACCATGTCTTTAGTCCTGTTGTACACCATGTCTTTAGTCCTGGTTGTACACCATGTCTTTAGTCCTGGTTGTACACCATGTCTTTAGTCCTGGTTGTACACCATGTCTTTAGTCCTGGTTGTACACCATGTCTTTAGTCCTGGTTGTACACCATGTCTTTAGTCCTGGTTGTATTCCTTGTCTTTAGTCCTGGTTGTACACCATGTCTTTAGTCCTGGTTGTACACCATGTCTTTAGTCCTGTCGTACACCATGTCTTTAGTCCTGGTTGTACACCATGTCTTTAGTCCTGGTTGTACACCATGTCTTTAGTCCTGGTTGTACACCATGTCTTTAGTCCTGGTTGTACACCATGTCTTGTCCTGGTTGTACACATGTCTTTAGTCCTGGTTGTACACCATGTCTTTAGTCCTGGTTGTACACCATGTCTTTAGTCCTGGTTGTACACCATGTCTTTAGTCCTGGTTGTACACCATGTCTTTAGTCCTGGTTGTACACCATGTCTTTAGTCCTGGTTGTACACCATGTCTTTAGTCCTGGTTGTACACCATGTCTTTAGTCCTGGTTGTACACCATGTCTTTAGTCCTGGTTGTACACCATGTCTTTTCAGTCCTGGTTGTACACCATGTCTTTAGTCCTGGTTGTACACCATGTCTTTAGTCCTGGTTGTACACCATGTCTTTAGTCCTGGTTGTACACCATGTCTTTAGTCCTGGTTGTACACCATGTCTTTAGTCCTGGTTGTACACCATGTCTTTAGTCCTGGTTGTACACCATGTCTTTAGTCCTGGTTGTACACCATGTCTTTAGTCCTGGTTGTACACCATGTCTTTAGTCCTGGTTGTACACATGTCTTTAGTGGTTGTACACTTTAGTCCTGGTTGTACACCATGTCTTTAGTCCTGGTTGTACACCATGTCTTTAGTCCTGGTTGTACACCATGTCTTTAGTCCTGGTTGTACACCATGTCTGGTTGTAGTCTTTAGTCCTGGTTGTACACCATGTCTTTAGTCCTGGTTGTATTCCTTGTCTTTAGTCCTGGTTGTACACCATGTCTTTAGTCCTGGTTGTACACCATGTCTTTAGTCCTGGTTGTACACCATGTCTTTAGTCCTGTCGTACACCATGTATGTCTTTGTTACACCATGTCCTGGTTGTACACCATGTCTTTAGTCCTGGTTGTACACCATGTCTTTAGTCCTGGTTGTACACCATGTCTTTAGTCCTGTTGTACCTGTCTTGTACACCATGTCTTTAGTCCTGGTTGTACACCATGTCTTTAGTCCTGGTTGTACACCATGTCTTTAGTCCTGGTTGTACACCATGTCTTTAGTCCTGGTTGTACACCATGTCTTTAGTCCTGGTTGTACACCATGTCTTTAGTCCTGGTTGTACACCATGTCTTTAGTCCTGGTTGTACACCATGTCTTTAGTCCTGGTTGTACACCATGTCTTTAGTCCTGGTTGTACACCATGTCTTTAGTCCTGGTTGTACACCATGTCTTTAGTCCTGTTGTACACCATGTCTTTAGTCCTGGTTGTACACCATGTCTTTAGTCCTGGTTGTACACCATGTCTTTAGTCCTGGTTGTACACCATGTCTTTAGTCCTGGTTGTACACCATGTCTTTAGTCCTGGTTGTACACCATGTCTTTAGTCCTGGTTGTACACCATGTCTTTAGTCCTGGTTGTACCCATGTCTTTAGTCCTGGTTGTACCCATGTCTTTAGTCCTGGTTGTACACCATGTCTTTAGTCCTGGTTGTACACCATGTCTTTAGTCCTGGTTGTACACCATGTCTTTAGTCCTGGTTGTACACCATGTCTTTAGTCCTGGTTGTACACCATGTCTTTAGTCCTGTCCTGGTTGTACACCATGTCTTTAGTCCTGGTTGTACACCATGTCTTTAGTCCTGGTTGTACACCATGTCTTTAGTCCCTGGTTGTACACCATGTCTTTAGTCCTGGTTGTACACCATGTCTTTAGTCCTGGTTGTACACCATGTCTTTAGTCCTGGTTGTACACCATGTCTTTAGTCCTGGTTGTACACCATGTCTTTAGTCCTGGTGTACACCATGTCTTTAGTACCTGGTTGTACCCATGTCTTTAGTCCTGGTTGTACACCATGTCTTTAGTCCTGGTTGTACACCATGTCTTTAGTCCTGGTTGTACACCATGTCCTTAGTCCCTGTTGTACACCATGTCTTTAGTCCTGGTTGTACACCATGTCTTTAGTCCTGGTTGTACACCATGTCTTTAGTCCTGGTTGTACACCATGTCTTTAGTCCTGGTTGTACACCATGTCTTTAGTCCTGGTTGTACACCCATGTCTTTAGTCCTGGTTGTACACCATGTCTTTAGTCCTGGTTGTACACCATGTCTTTAGTCCTGGTTGTACACCATGTGTTTAGTCCTGGTTGTACACCATGTCTTTAGTCCTGGTTGTACACCATGTCTTTAGTCCTGGTTGTACACCATGTCTTTAGTCCTGGTTGTACACCATGTCTTTAGTCCTGGTTGTACACCATGTCTTTAGTCCTGGTTGTACACCATGTCTTTAGTCCTGGTTGTACACCATGTCTTTAGTCCTGGTTGTACACCATGTCTTTAGTCCTGGTTGTACACCATGTCTTTAGTCCTGGTTGTACACCATGTCTTTAGTCCTGGTTGTACACCATGTCTTTAGTCCTGGTTGTACACCATGTCTTTAGTCCTGGTTGTACACCATGTCTTTAGTCCTGGTTGTACACCATGTCTTTAGTCCTGGTTGTACACCATGTCTTTAGTCCTGGTTGTACACCATGTCTTTAGTCCTGGTTGTACACCATGTCTTTAGTCCTGGTTGTACACCATGTCTTTAGTCCTGGTTGTACACCATGTCTTTGTACACCATGTCTTTAGTCCTGGTTGTACACCTGGTTGTACACCATGTCTTTAGTCCTGGTTGTACACCATGTCTTTAGTCCTGGTTGTACACCATGTCTTTAGTCCTGGTTGTACACCATGTCTTTAGTCCTGGTTGTACACCATGTCTTTAGTCCTGGTTGTACACCATGTCTTTAGTCCTGGTGTAAACCATGTCTTTAGTCCTGGTTGTACACCATGTCTTTAGTCCTGGTTGTACACCATGTCTTTAGTCCTGGTTGTACACCATGGTCTTAGTCTGGTTGTACACCATGTCTTTAGTCCTGGTTGTACACCATGTCTTTAGTCTTTTGTACCCAATGTCTTTAGTCCTGTTGTACACCATGTCTTTAGTCCTGGTTGTACACCATGTCTTTAGTCCTGGTTGTGTCACCTGGTGTCTTTAGTCCTGGTTGTATTCCTTGTCTTTAGTCCTGGTTGTACACCATGTCTTTAGTCCTGGTTGTACACCATGTCTTTAGTCCTGGTTGTACACCATGTCTTTAGTCCTGGTTGTACACCATGTCTTTAGTCCTGGTTGTACACCATGTCTTTAGTCCTGGTTGTACACCATGTCTTTAGTCCTGGTTGTACACCATGTCTTTAGTCCTGGTTGTACACCATGTCTTTAGTCCTGGTTGTACACCATGTCTTTAGTCCTGGTTGTACGCCATGTCTTTAGTCCTGGTTGTACACCATGTCTTTAGTCCTGGTTGTACACCATGTCTTTAGTCCTGGTTGTACACCATGTCTTTAGTCCTGGTTGTACACCATGTCTTTAGTCCTGGTTGTACACCATGTCTTTTGAGTCCTGGTTGTACACCATGTCTTTGTCCCTGGTTGTACGCCATGTCTTCAGTCCTGGTTGTACACCATGTCTTTAGTCCTGGTTGTACACCATGTCTTTCCTGGTTGTACACACAATGTCTTTAGTCCTGGTTGTACACCATGTCTTTAGTCCTGGTTGTACACCATGTCTTTAGTCCTGGTTGTACACCATGTCTTTAGTCCTGGTTGTACACCATGTCTTTAGTCCTGGTTGTATTCCTTGTCTTTAGTCCCAGTTGTACACCATGTCTTCAGTCCTGGTTGTGGCTAAAATATTTCATTTTGTAAACTTGTTCAGCTGTCTTGATTTTCTTGTTTCCAGTATTCATAGAATCTTTGAATGTGATTGTTGCGGAAAGAACTTATTAACAGCTTAGTTTGTTAACATCAGATTATCTTTAGTCGAAGCAGTATCGGTGTTATTCCCTGGCCTGAAAAATCCCACATCAGACATTTTAATTTGTACAACTGTGTTTGTTTTATCAGTCTAGTTGTGTGAGTTCCCGTGAAAGCTTTGGTGAAAGATAATATTGATACTGGCTAGCCTTTCAGCAATCGAGTAAATATGGAACAATTGCTGTGATAGTTTAATGTATTAATATCGACTGAAGTTCCACGGCACTCCACACAATGCAGACATCAGAACACTGTACTGCGACTGTCACACAAACTTGTCGTCCGAAGCTGGAGCTTTGAGCTGACCATGCAGTTTACTGATTGTTCTGGTTGCCCAGTGTGAGGCGACCGGTCAGTTATGCCTTTAACTCGTGTTGCTGTGCAGCCTTTGGCGATCATGAAGGACAAGAAAGATCGAACAAGCCCTTTCATTGTGCAAGAATGCAAATTGTGGAAGAATGCAACTAAGGTATGCTATTACATGCGTTATCGTCTTAGCAACTTGTTTGTTATCCAATCCTGTATCAAAACCTTATTCAGTAAGAATTAAATATAACAGCTTCTACTTTTTCTCTTTTCTTCTTCTTGTTTTACTTCTTTTTCTTCTTCTTCTTCTTCTTCTTCTTCTTCTTCTTCTTCTTCTTCTTCTTCTTCTTCTTCTTCTTCTTCTTCTTCTTCTTCTTCTTCTTCTTCTTCTTCTTCTTCTTCTTCTCCTTTTTCTTCTTCTTCTTCTTCCCCGTCTCCTCCTTTTTAATTCTTCAGCTACTGCTGTCGCTGCTCTTTATCCTCTTTCTACTCTTCAGTCGTCTCCCTCCTCCTCTTTTTTAATTGGCCATTTGATGAAGAGCAGACTTTGGCGATCATAACTATTCAAACATCTCTGTCATCTGTTATTTGACTGAACTCAGTTTTATTTATAATATTCTTTTCCAGTTTTTAAAACTATTTACCCACATATTCTGGCGTTCCGGTACTTCTCCTGCTTAGCCAGGACGAAAGATAGGGTCTACAACCAGGACTACACACATAGTGAATAATCAGGACTAAAGACATGGTGTACAACCAGGACTAAAGACATTGTGTACATTTAGGACTAAAGACATTGTGTACAACTAGGACTAAAGACAGGAAATACAACCAGGACTAAAGACATGGTGTACGACCAAGACTAAAAACAGGGTGTACAACTAGGACTAAAGACATGGTGTACAACCAGGGCTAAAGACATTGTGTACATTTAGGACTAAAGACATTGTGTACAACTAGGACTAAAGACAGTAAATACAACCAGGACTAAAGACATGGTGTACGACCAAGACTAAAAACAGGGTGTACATGCAGGACTAAAAACAAGGTGTACATCCCGGACTAATGATATGGTTTACAAACAAGACTAAAGACAGTGTGTACAACCAGGACTAAAAACATGGTGTACAACCAAGACTAATGACGTAGTGTACAACCAGGACTAAAAACATGGTGTACAACCAAGACTAAAGACGTAGTGTACAACCATGACTAAAAACATGGTGTACAACCAAGACTAAAGACGTAGTGTACAACCAGGACTAAAAACATGGTGTACAACCAAGACTAAAGACGTAGTGTACAACTAGGATTAAAGACATGGTGTACAACCAGGACTAAAGACATGATGTCAACCAGGTCTAAAGACCTGCAAATAGATAATTTATTAATTCAGGCGCAGACATTATTCTTTACTACCATTATACTTATATGGCCACAGCCGCGATGTCCCAGCTGATTACGATGTGGTAGAGAAAATCAGCATCGTAGTAAAGGTGAAATTTCTACAAATTTTTGCAAATTGGTGCAGACCAGAGTTGAACTCTCACTTACTAGCGTTCTGAAGGTCATGGGTTTGTTTCAAGAGTGTGTCATTCATTTCCATAGTGCAATATTGCCTGGGTTCGTCGCAGGAGTTACAATGTTCGTGCTTTGTGTGACGCTTTCGACAGGTGGCTAGCCGTTCTGCGAGAAAGACTTCTATGAGATAAAACCCTGTGCAATGAATTGATGCTCTCGACTTTATCTATATATGTCGTATTCTGGTTAACACTTAACACATACCAGCGGCATCATCTATTATAAATCTTCATTTAATTTATAATGTTCATCTCAATATGTCACTGAAATCAGTAGTATGTTCTTTAGCAACGTGACGCCGACTCTGTGTGACAGTATGCATGTCCTGGACTAATGGTTTGCTCACCAGTTTTTCGAACGAGACATGTGTTATATACTTGCACTAACTTCTTTTGCAGACAGGCTCAAAATTCTGCAAAATAAGTCATATCTCAGAGTAGCTACAGACAAGAACCCTGTGGGTTCCAATGCAAAGACATTCTAGTTATGCTGTTCTTAAGTTTTCTCTCTTTTATATATGACATAAATAAAATGCGACCTGTGTGTGCCAAAATACATGCAATTTACAGTAGTGTTTACTGCGAGTGGTATATGTACGCGCGATATAGCCGGTACGGCAGGATACAGACAGGAAACAACGCCACCCTGTTACCGACATTGATTTAACGGATATATATATACACACATACATATAAATACATACACAAGACACTATTCTAAGATTTTAAAAAAAGCTTCTATAGTTAGATACACAGCTTTCTGTAATTAGAAACAAGACCGACACCCACACTCAATCATGAGACAGACAAATACAAGGTAGAAATGTGATTCACAATGACCTTACATGACAGTCACGCAGTCGTGCAGTGTTTAGACATTCTGGATAATTGTGCGCTGTTACTCTCTAGTCAGCACTGCTGCAATCAATGGTCTATTGACGACCCGCGCGTGACATGTTTCCTCACGCCTGCCACGCCCTTTCCTAGTTTTTTTTTTTTTTCCAATTGTACCGCGACATTTCTGTTTGTGAGCAGCCCCGTATTTTCTGACCGTGAACTGGCTTCAACTGTTCTGTTCCTGTCTCTGAGGTCTGCAGTTAACTGTTTATGTCTCCGAGGTCTGCAGTTAACTGTTCATGTCTCCGAGGTCTGCAGTTATCTGTTCATGTATCCGAGGTCTGCAGTTAACTGTTCATGTATCCGAGGTCTGCAGTTAACTGTTCATGTCTCCGAGGTCTGCAGTTAACTGATCATGTCTCCGAGGTCTGAAGTTAACTGTTCATGTCTTTGAGGTCTGCAGTTAACTGTTCATGTCTCCGAGGTATGCAGTTAACTGTTCATGTCTCCGAGGTCTGCAGTTAACTGTTCATGTCTCTGAGGTCTGCACTTAACTGTTCATGTCTCCGAGGTCTGCAGTTAACTGTTCATGTCTCCGAGGTCTGCAGTTAACTGTTCATGTCTCCGAGGTCTGCAGTTAACTGTTCATGTATCCGAGGTCTGCAATTAACTGTTCATGTCTCCGAGGTCTGCAGTTAAATTTTCATGTCTCCGAGGTCTGCAGTTAACTGTTCATGTATCCGAGGTCTGCAGTTAACTGTTCATGTATCCGAGGTCTGAAGTTAACTGTTCATGTATCCGAAGTCTGCAGTTAACTGTTCATGTATGCGAGGTCTGCGGTTACCTGTTCATGTCTCCGAGGTCAGCAGTTAACTGTTCATGTCTCTGAGGTCTGCAGTTAACTGTTCATGTCTCCGAGGCCTGCAGTTAACTGTTCATGTATCCGAGGTTTGCAGTTAACTGTTCATGTCTCCGAGGTCTGCAGTTAACTGTTCTTGTATCCGAGGTCAGCAGTTAACTGTTTATGTATCCGAGGTCTGCAGTTAACTGTTCATGTCTCCGAGGTCTGCAGTTAACTGTTCATGTCTTTGAGGTCTGCAGTTAACTGTTCATGTCTCCGAGGTCTGCAGTTAACTGTTCATGTCTCCGAGGTCTGCAGTTAACTGTTCATGTCTCCGAGGTCTGCAGTTAACTGTTCATGTATCCTAGGTCTGCAGTTAACTGTTCATGTCTCCGAGGTCTGCAGTTAACTGTTCATGTCTCCGAGGTCTGCAGTTAACTGTTCATGTATCCTAGGTCTTCAGTTAACTGTTCATGTCTCCGAGGTCTGCAGTTAACTGTTCATGTATCCTAGGTTTGCAATTAACTGTTCATGTCTCCGAGGTCTGCAGTTAACTGTTCATGTCTCCGAGGTCTGCAGTTAACTGTTCATGTATCCTAGGTCTGCAATTAACTGTTCATGTCTCCGAGGTCTGCAGTTAACTGTTCATGTATCCGAGGTCTGAAGTTAACTGTTCATGTATCCAAAGTCTGCAGTTAACTGTTCATGTCTGCGAGGTCTGCGGTTACCTGTTCATGTCTCCGAGGTCAGCAGTTAACTGTTCATGTCTCCGAGGTCTGCAGTTAACAGGTTCATGTCTCCGAGGTCTGCAGTTACCTGTTCATGTATCCGAGGTCTGCAGTTAACTGTTCATGTATCCGAGGTCAGCAGTTAACTGTTTATGTATCCGAGGTCTGCAGTTAACTGTTCATGTCTCCGAGGTCTGCAGTTTACTGTTCATGTCTCCGAGGTCTGCAGTTAACTGTTTATGTCTCCGAGGTCTGCAGTTAACTGTTCATGTATCCGAAGTCTGCAGTTAACTGTTCATGTATCCGAGGTCTGAAGTTAACTGTTCATGTATCCAAAGTCTGCAGTTAACTGTTCATGTCTGCGAGGTCTGCGGTTACCTGTTCATGTCTCCGAGGTCAGCAGTTAACTGTTCATGTCTCCGAGGTCTGCAGTTAACAGGTTCATGTGTCCGAGGTCTGCAGTTAACTGTTCATGTATCCGAGGTCTGCAGTTAACTGTTCATGTATCCGAGGTCAGCAGTTAACTGTTTATGTATCCGAGGTCTGCAGTTAACTGTTCATGTCTCCGAGGTCTGCAGTTTACTGTTTATGTCTCCGAGGTCTGCAGTTAACTGTTCATGTATCCGAGGTCTGCAGTTAACTGTTCATGTCTCCGAGGTCTGCAGTTAACTGTTCATGTATATGAGGTCTGCAGTTAACTGTTCATGTCTCCGAGGTCTGCGGTTACCTGTTCATGTCTCCGAGGTCTGCGTTTACCTGTTCATGTCTCCGAGGTCAGCAGTTAACTGTTCATGTCTCTGAGGTCTGCAGTTAACTGTTCATGTCTCCGAGGTCTGCAGTTAACTGTTCATGTATCCGAGGTCTGCAGTTAACTGTTCATGTCTCCGAGTTCTGCAGTTTACTGTTCATGTCTCCGAGGTCAGCAGTTAACTGTTTATGTCTCCGAGGTCTGCAGTTAACTGTTCATGTATCCGAGGTCTGCAGTTAACTGTTCATGTATCTGAGGTCTGCAGTTAACTGTTCATGTCTCCGAGGTCTGCGGTTACCTGTTCATGTCTCCGAGGTCTGCGGTTACCTGTTCATGTCTCCGAGGTCAGCAGTTAACTGTTCATGTCTCTGAGGTCTGCAGTTAACTGTTCATGTCTCCGAGGTCTGCGGTTACCTGTTCATGTCTCCG